CGTAGTCAAATGGGCAGTTATTTTATTTTTCTATATGGTAATAATTATTTTATATTGGTTACAATATATTCTGAGCGTATTTTAACATCTTTATTATTTAAACTTCTTTATTTAATATACATTAGTAAGATATTTACTTAACTTTTAGGACTACTCTTAATATATATCTTCGCCATGTGTAAATTTTTTGGAGACGACCGAGAAATATTTCACTTTTCTTTATTTAACTTTCTTAATTAAGGAATATACCCATAACACGCTATTGGGAATATTCCTCAATTTGTTCTCAACCATTGGTGTGGGTGACGGGATGTCATCTCACCTCAGTAGTGTGAACACTGATGTAAAATATTTTGTCATGTTTGCTGGCCTAATGTCATCCATTATAGCTTATTTAGTCTCATCTTTTAAGGGTACTACTGAGTCCTTTGTTTTAGGGGTGTTTGACTCCATTAAAATGAATCTCGCTTCATGCATGTCGGCGTTCAATCCCCCGAGACCGTCCACAAGTGGTTGGGCACCATTCCTTTCCCTCCGTCCCATCCCAAATCCTTATCCTGACCCCTTCCCAGTGCTATATAGTCGTAATGGCTTGGCGCTTTCCCCCTGATAATTCCATTTTTCCTTCCATAAAATGAATAATACCAAATTCGACTTTCTATTGGTCCATCGCGTTGATATTTGACGAGCGTCTGAATAGTTACGAAAAGGACTATCTTAGGAGGTTTAGTGAGGTGGACGGGTGATGAGGGAGTTTAGTGAGGTGATGAGGGAGTGTAGTGAGGTGATGAGGGAGTGTAGTGAGGTGATGAGGGAGTGTAGTGAGGTGATGACGGAGTGTAGTGAGGTGATGAGGGAGTTTAGTGAGGTGATGAGGGAGTTTAGTGAGGTGATGAGGGAGTTTAGTGAGGTGATGAGGGAGTTTAGTGAGGTGATAAGAGGGGGGGGGGAGGTTGTAGAGAAGGGGACTAGTCGTTTCGTACATCGTCGGCTGACAACTTCGGATACAAGAACCCTTTCGTATACACTTGTGCGCTGGCTTGTGTTCGCTGCCACTCTCGTCTTTCTAGATAATAAAATTACCAAAAACGAGGCAATAGAAGTTGATAATAAGTTAAGAATATGAATAAATAACTCTCTTATTATCATATAATTAGCAGCACGTCTTTAAATAATATGTGAGTTAGGTTCTTTTAATTGTCCTTATACAGTTTAATGAATACAAAATTTTTCCTGCCTAAATGTTATTATATTATGATAATCACAACATATCTGCATTAATATTCATCAATCAATCGATGTTTAATTTATTTAGAAATACATCACATCTCCACAAAAAGAGTATATCCTAATCTTGGTATAAAATCTTTAGCTACGAGATTTGTAGATCTAAAAGGAAATTCGGAAGTAATAATGATACAGCTGATGCCATCTGTCGGCAGAAGAGAACACTATCAACTGGCTAGTCAATAGTGGCCATAAGATACAGCTTACGCCATCTGTTGACATCAAATTACACTTATAACAAATTACCCCACAAAATACCACTAACGCCATCTAGTTTTTTTCCAACGCACTATAAATAGCCAAACAGCAACCCATAAGGCGGGTTGTTGTGCTCGGGTAGGAGGTTCCAAGCTCCGCCCACAGATGGTATGGGGTGCATAATCAATGGCATATCATTGGTAGAAACTCTTTGTTGACATTTACACAACAGCCAATCACAGGTGATTGATTGATAAAGATTAAGCCACCCAAGAGGTGGCACGGGCATGAATAGCCCGTAAAATCACAGGAAGGGATCAGCTAAAGTTTCCATCCATTTAATAAATCATCTTTATTCAGCACTCCAGCCATGCTTATGACATTCTGCTTCAACTTTAATCTACCTAAAAAGTGAAATGTTAAGTATTTAAAAGTATTAATGTAGTGATAATTAAATACTGCCGGATGTATAACGAGTGTTAGAGAAACATGGGCTGGCTACCTGACTTGTGACGTCATCAGAGGGTGTTGCCACACACAAATAATATCGGGGATACAATGCCTCCGCCCTCTTATTAGTCTACATTATTCAGTTAGATGGAAATTGCTGTCTTGTATGAAACAGAAATTGTTGTTCTTTTGTACAACAACAACAAGGTTATTGAGCAAAAGGACGTATTTCTTATTTTGCATTTTATTCATATAAGCGTTAGCATTCCCCGCGACAGCCAATCACAGGAAGGGATCAGCAATAGGTGCCATCCACTTAGAAAATCATCTTAGTTCAGCCCACTAGTCCTGCTTATGGAATTCAGCTTTAACTTTAAGTTACCCAAAAAAGTGAAGTGTTAATTATTTAAAGTGTTAATAAAGTGATAATTAAATATTGCAGGATATAACAGATGTTAAATAAAAATGGGCTGGCTACCTAACTTGTGACGTCATCAGTGGGAGTTGCCTCACAAATAATGATACGCTGCTCTGCCTTCTTATTCGAGTAAATTATTCAGTTAGATGGAGATTTCTGTCAGGTGAAAAACAGAAATTGTTGTTCTTTTTCACAATAACCTTGTTGTTGTGCACAAGGACCTATTTCTTAGTTTAAATTTTATTCATAAAAGAGTGTTGGTATTCCCCGCAACAGCCAATCACAGGAAGGTATTTCTGGAAGCTCCGCCTCCTTATGGACTCAGCACATCGCTCTAGCTCATGTTTCATGTTCATCGCTCTAGCTCATGTTTGCGCTGTTTCATCTCTTGTATATACAAACTATGACTTTTTACGATTACTGTTATAATTAATAGATATAAAAGTTCTTACACAAAATGGCTAAATTCTGCCATTAAATGGACTTTGTCTGGTATACATACAAACGTACACCAATTTATTACCATTCATCCATTATTAATTTCAAATGTAATGTATACTGTCTAGTTTTTTCCTCTCGCCATTAATTGGTGCAATATTTGACAGTTGTCTATTTATTTATCGATCTATCTATTATCTTGTTTTATATTTACAAGTTTCTGTGCTTGGAAGAAAACTGCATTGAATTGGGACTAATTTATTAAATAATATTATTTAGTATTAATTTATATTTACAATTATTATTAATTACAATTATTTATAGCTTAGTTACTTTCAAGTAACTCATAATCGTACATTCTTCCCGATGATTGATTGACGCATTTGTCAATCACACTGCACACATTTGTGAAGTGTGAATTTAATTCTTAAGTAAACAATAATCATAGTCTAAGTTAATTATGGGTTAAATGAGTCACAGAAGTTAACTTTTTTGTTTTTGAGATATATAGAAGAGTTGTTAGACTGTTCTAGAGCCACTAGTACGCGTAGCGTTTCGGGCAGGTTTCGGGCTTCGGGCCCTGGAATACGATCCCCGCCGCGAAGAATCCTTGTTACAACCAAGTACACATTTTACTGTTGCGTTAAACAGAGGCTACAGTTAAGGAATTGCGCCCAGTCAATCCTCCCCGGCCAGGATACGAACCCATGACATAGCGCTCGCGGAACGCCAGGCGAGTGTCTTACCACTACACCACGGAGACTGTTATTTGTTAATACAACAAAATATGAATTAATATATTGTTACGATTATTAATGATGCCCATTATTAATCAGCATGCCCAGAAATTTATTCTCCCTAAATAAATAAACATTATTATCATTATGTTTGACTAAATCTAGTCCTTGAAGACTAGATCAGTTGTGAACGCCAGCCAGCGCACACGTACATGAGCGCCCAAGATACTTTATTTATTTTTATATATATATACAAGAAGGTGCAATGGGTTTATGAGAGTACATAGCATTGGTGTTTATACATTCTTGTAAAACCACTAACACGCGTAGCGTTTCGGGCAGAAGAACACAACTTTAACTTTACTTATACTTTTTACTTCTACACAATAGACCTGTGGAGATAGGCTTGCGTTTTTATTAATTAATATTACATGTTAGGCGTTTACCCTTAATTCAAATGATTATATATAAGTATAACTATCACACAGTAAATGTAATAGGAGTCTACTCAAAAACTGGCCACAGTCAAGTGGTTAATTGATTGCTAAAGATTAAACCCGTAAATACAGTCAAGTGTTTTGTGCGTTCGACCATGTTTGTGGCCCTTCAGATGTAAGGAGTGAACACTTTCGGCGACACTAAAATGTTTATAATCTTTTCGGTCTGCTCATCTTAATATTCTATGTATGTATTTAAATTTGGTATCAATTTGTTCGCAAAAGAATGCTCTAGAGGAATATATATGTAAAATTTCACCAAACTCTACATGAGACCCGCACCAAATAAAAAACTATGGCTACCGTTAGGCGCGAGCTTCGAACCGCACTGAAATGTTTATGATCTTTTCATGTTTGTCAACCCCAGAATTGTTCTACGTCGTTAATTTTGGTATCACTGTGACCGCAATAAAATTCCCTATACGGACATATGCATATAAATGTAGAATCATGGTCGCGGCCCACCCGCAAGAGTGTACTCACCTAGTTTGTGTCCAGCGTAGGATGACTAAGTTAATTCCCCAAATTAGAAATCTTTCATATGAAGAAAGATTAACAAAGCTTAAGTTGCATTCACTGGAAAGGCGAAGAGTTAGGGGTGACATGATAGAGGTTTACAAGTGGATGAATGGACATAACCGGGGGGATATTAATAGGGTATTAAAAGTATCAACACAGGACAGAACACGAAACAATGGATATAAATTGGATAAGTTTAGATTTAGGAAAGACTTGGGTAAATACTGGTTCAGTAACAGGGTTGTTGATTTGTGGAACCAATTGCCGCGTAACATTGTGGAGGTGGGGTCCCTCGATTGTTTCAAGCACGGGTTGGACAAGTATATGAGTGGGATTGGGTGGTTATAGAATAGGAGCTGCCTCGTATGGGCCAATAGGCCTTCTGCAGTTACCTTTGTTCTTATGTTCTTATGTTCTTAGTTGTGGTTGTGGGGGTTGAGCTCTGGCTCTTTGGTC